CGGGGCCACTGCGCGGGCTGTCGCCGTGCAGGCCGAGGAGCGCCGGGGACGGTGGGAAGCCGGCCGAGGACGGCTGAGGTGAAGCTTGGTCCCCGCCGTGCGCGGCCGCGGTGAAGCCCCGACGTGGGCGGCGCGGGTTCTGACTGGGCGCGGGCCGAGCGAGCCGGGTTTCGACCCGGTTCGGGAGCCCTGGCAGGGTTCTCGGGGTCCCCGCTCCGCTGAGGCGCCGCTGCGGACCCTTCCCGGGCCGCCCGAGCGCTCGCGTCCCCGCGCCCCGTCAAGCCCCTGCGGGTTTATACTTTAATGGTTGTTTTTTCTTTTTAACGTGTTCTAAATTGATTCAGAATAGAGTTCTTACAACATAGAGTTTAAAACATTCCATTTCACCGCAGAGTTTAAAACTGACTGCTTAGAGCCCCGTCTTGGATTGTTCGGGTCTCGCGCGTTGGAAGGTGTGTGCGGAGACCATGGATTTCCAGCGCAGACTTTGGGATAAAGGTCTTCCTCTCCTTCCTCCCCGTCCTTCCTCTCGGCGACATTAGGGGGTGTGCGCTGTGCGGACTGCACCGGGTGACACTGTCGGGGGTGACACCAAAACGGCTGTTAAAATATTCCTGTACTTAGTTAGAACAACAAAAACATTTTTTGTAAGCCCAGCTTACGTGTATCGATATACTTACAAGGTTAAAGCTCCATGCTAATTTACTTTTTTGAGCCCAGGTGGCGCAGTGGTTAAGAGCCCGGCTGCTCACCGAAAGGTCAGCGGTTCGAATCCACCAGCCGCTCCTTGGAAACCCTATGGGGCAGCTCTCCTCTGCCCTATAGGGTCCCTCGGAGTCCGAATCGACTCAAAGGCAAAGGGCTTGGTTTCGGTTTAATGCACCCCAGTCGGAGCTGTCATTATTACCCAATTACTGGGAAGCTTCCAGTCTCATGGTTTCATCTTCAAGTTAGAACGCGGTTGTTCTTGTTGCTGCTTTCATTGCTGTCAATTAGGAGCGCAGACGGGGAGTAGAAGCACGGTGGTAGGAATGGTCTCTCTTTGAGACCCGAAGAGTGGGGCGGGGGGTCGGGGAACCTGTGGGAGGATCTGAGGATGGGAGTGGGGAGGGTGCTCAAGGTGAAGACCCAGCCCGACAGGAAATGAGAGCAGGCCAGTCTGAGTGGAGAGTGGGCATCAAGGAGGAGTGGCAGGAAATGGGGAGCCAGGCAGAGGCCAGGTCAGCTGGGCAGTAAAGGCTGCAGCCAGGAGTGTGGGTTTTCTTCAGGGTGCCGTTGGAAGGGCTTTAAGAAAGGGAGTAACATGAATTAAGGTTTAAAAAGATGACTCTGTTTTGGGAAGAAGAGATGGAGGAGGCAAGAGTGGAAGCGGAGAGAGGTAAGATGAGGCAAAACACTCAGACTCAGGAGATAACTAGGAGGTAGAATGGGCAGGACTTGGTGAGGATTGTTTTGTGCCAGGCTGGTGAAGGAGAGGAAGAGTGTCCCTGAGGACAAGATGGATGGTAAAGGAATTTTCCGAGATGGGAAAGTCTTTGGTAGCTCTCGGGTCCCAGCACAGGCCTGGCACACAGGTCTGGGTGAGTGTTGTTGCCCTGAGGAGAATGGACAGCACACACACCCCTTCCTGGCTCTGGGCGGTACCAGAAAGCACAGTTTGCACTGGTTGATCAGAGGCTGCCACCCCCTCATGAAACTTAAACAAGGGACAGGAACGTCCAGGGTAGGACCAGCCTGGTCAGGATGGGCTTTAGGCCAGACAAGAAGTCACCCTTCAAAAGTGGGAAGAAGGCTCAGAGCTCAAGCAGGGGAATTCTGGAAGACCTTGGTGGGGGAGCTGTCAGAGATGGTTATGGTACATCTAGTGCTGGTGGTATAGGGCCAGCCTCACAGCAGGCACCGCACAGCTGTTACCTGTGACATTACCACCACTGTTTCCTTAAACTGGGCTAGTTTTCCTCCCACCCTAGTTAAGATCTAGATTAGTGGCCTCAAAGCTGTCACATCTGGTCCCACATCTGGCCCTCTGTTTTTGTTGCTCCTCGCATTCGCCTGGGTGGGTACTGTGAGGAGTGCTGGGGACCAGCTCCCACCCCAGCCCTGTCCTGGACCCAGGGCCTGACACGTAATCTGACAGTTAGCCCACACATGTTGAACGACTAAACTGGGTATAAACCAGATTACCGCAGTATTCCAGGTGAGGAGTGACTGAGGCTTGGGTCGGGAGACAACATTGAAGATGGAAGAAAGGAGACACATTTAAGTAGATTTTCAAAGTAGAAAGGACAGTAGTTGCTGATGAATGATGTCATCTTTGTATTACTGCTTTGAACTGTTTATTTTATGTTAATTTTGTATTTCTCAAAATGTCCAGGTAGAGAAGCAAGTTACTAGATTTCTTGTGGGTGGATCTAAAGTATATTGCTGTATACTTTGAATAATAGGAGAAACTGAAGGAACATCAAAGAGATCGTATTATGTAAGTCAGTGACCAAAAGACCAAGAAATGTTAAGGGGTAAAATTTTAAAGAATTCACTTAATATTGTAAGTGGGTCAGGTTTTTACACAAAATCCAGCCACTGAGTAATTCATCCTCTCCAGCCTCAAGTGTCTGGCCCTCGGTAGTCTCCCAATAATATTTGTTGAATGGATGGATGGATGAATTGGTCACAGTTTGGCAAACATTTTAGAGAGTGAAACTGTATAGTGAGCCAGATCAGACCAGGCCAGAGAATGAGCAAGAGACTTAACATGGTTTATTCCCCATCACTTCTTCTGGCAGAAGGCCTTTGAATGCAGAAGCAACTACAGGAATGAGCGTGAAAAGCAGCACTATCCTTTACTGAGATCCTGTGAACATCTAGGCACTCCATGTATGTTATTTCCGATTCTCACAACAAACCTGTAAGATAGTGATTGTCCACAATTTATGAATGAGGAAATGAAAGCTTGGTAATGTCAGAACACTGACAAACTAGTGGTGCTAGAATTTAAAATAATTTTTTACAAATTCCACAGCCTCCCTGAAACTGAGGTCACGAGACATGTCCTGAAACCAAGGCCTGTGGGTGAGAGCATTCACAGAGTAAAAAAGGCCATTAAAATTTTTTTTTTAAATTGTGTTTTAGGGAAAAGTTTACACAGCAAGTTAGGTTCCCGTTTAACAATTTTTATACAGATTGTTCCATGATGTTGGTTACTTTTTCCGCAGTGTGTCAACATTCTCATTATGTCCATTCTGTTTGTTCTGCTCCCACTAATGTAGCTTCCTTGCCCCTCCTTAGCGTCTCGTCTTTGTTTTGGGGTAAATGTTGACCGTTTGGACTCACATAGTTAATTATTCAGGCCATGTTTTAATAAAGTGAAAATCAAGGAAATCTCTAGTTTAGTGAAGCTTACAATTTTTTGTAGGAGTCACTGAGTGGGCTCCTAGTTAAATGCTTGACTACTAGCTGGAAGGTTGGCGGTTTGAACCCACCTAGAGGCACCTCGGAAGATAGAAGTGGCAGTCTGCTTCTGAAAGGTCACAGCCTTGGAAACCCTGTGGAGCACAGTTCTACTCTGCACGCACGGTATCACCGTGAGTCAGAATAAACTCAATGGCAACAAACACCGACAGTTTTCACTACAGTAAGATCTTTTAAAATGATAATATTTCAGAATAAGCCACTGTTTCAATCATTTGATAGTTACTGAGGGCCTTCTATGTACAGGGTAGCATTAGAATAGATAAAAGTATGTCAGATGCCACCTCTGCCCTCATGGAGCTTACCTCTTAGAATGCCGTTAAAAATTACTACCTATCCCCACACAGTGCAATGAAATGCACAATTTGAGGTGTTTATAATTGTTTTGTTAATAAATATTTGAATCCTCAAATGTCCCATTGAATCATTTCTCATCTGAAACTCTAAATTTATATGGTACTCAAAAATTGCTAAACTATACATGTTTTGGGAAAGTGAAAGTTAAAAATTGGAACCTAATGGTGTCCTGCAAAACTATAAAGAACATTTTGATACATGTTTTCTACAGGTTGAATCTGTATTAGTTTACATTTTACCATTATAATGAAAATTTTTGCAGAGAATGAGTAGAATATCTAGAGTGCTTTCCTAGAGAAATTATTAGTATTTTTAAAGCCTGGAATGTGTCTTGGTTTATTTCAGTTGAATTTTTTTCTAAATTATATTTTCTGAAATGCAGATAAAAGAATGGCAAGCTTCTCTGCGTCGAAGACCTTCACTGCACTTTCAGATCTCCATCCCAACATGGCTAATCTGGTCGGTCTTAGTGATGGGGGTTTGCTTGTTCTCTGGTGCAGCTTTACGTGATGATATTACATTATGTCAGCATTACTGATTCCTTGACACACCTTGTGTAATTGACAAGCGTATGGGTACTCACTGCATTGGTATAGCTGTTAGATATTAAGTATCCCTAAGCTTCTTTGTATTTATGCCAGCAAAATGAAGATCCTTCTTTTGTCTGTAGGGTAGGAGAGATGGTTGTAGAACATGACTATCGATTATTCAAAATGATCAAAAATATATTTGCATCATTTTAATTAAATATTGACTATCTGCTCAAATTTAACATTTAAAGTCAAGCCATTTTTCTTCAGCAGTAGCTATATTATTATCTGGTTATCTAAGTTATAGACTTAAATTATTGCCGTTATTGCTGCTTTTATGACATGAAGGTATACAACAGGTGTGTTTCTGAAATAATTGTGTGAAAATTAGTATTTTGGGAGGAGTTGTAGGAGAATTAAGTAATTTCAAATATACCAAGATTGTTACTTATTTAAAAGAAATCTGAGTGGAATCATCTTGTAAGGTGAAGAACATGTTGTAAAGCAACTTCCACACCACCTTACCATCCCCTGCCCGTGGGTCGGCTCTGTACATTTGACTTTTGTAAACCAGATTTCTGAAAATGGGATAAATTTGCATATAACTTTAATAATTTTCAATTTCAAGTTATCAGTGTTAAAAATAATTGTTATAGTTTTTCTTGAAAGGTAAAATATTTGCTAATCGCTTCTTTAGTTGGAAATTTTTACTTGGCATTTCCATTAGTTATATTTTTTTCCAACAAAATTCAGTGAGATCTGCATGCCTATGGAATTAAACAGTAGTAGTGTGTCTAAATGCAGTAAGACCAGCGACCAGCTCAGCTAGGACGTGGCAGTCTTAAAAGCTTGCCTGTGTTGTAAACGTAACAGATTATCACCAGGTTAACATCAGTTGCTAGAATTAGTAATATAAGTTTAGGTTTATCCTTTCAGAAAGCCAGTAGTTTTTATTTTGTTAAAGTATTCTTTTAATATGCAAATTTTCTTCAGTAGTCATTGAAGAAAACATTAAAAATTTTAAGGAAATTGGTTTAAGATCTAGAACTGTATAACTCTAAAGTTTAAGATCTAGAACTTTGTAACTTAGATTTATCAGCAGCAGTATACAAGTTTTGTTACAATCTAATTTATATTACTGTCCAGCATGTTTGGATTAAGAAGCTAAGCAATTTTATGTGGTTTGTTAGAAAACCCTATATGAAAGAAAGCTTTGAAGACCATGGCAGATTAAACTGCATTATACATGTGCTTTGACTGAATTCAGTAAAGATTCCTAGCGTAGGGCACTTACTGTGCTCCATCTAGTGATTGAAAATAAAGTAGAAACATGCTACATATTAAATGATTATATTTGTAATAGCAGCGAACTTATTACTTCGTACTATTCCTTGTGAAATTGAACATTTATGACATTCTTTTAGATGTTGGTCTGGAATAAATACATTTAAATGGTTCCTAGTCAAAAATGTTTGTTAGATTCAGTAAAATATAACACGTCCATGAAATTAAATTTACCATCTACATCTGTGTTTAATACTGGTCTTCTATAACCTTTTTGTTTTTCAGAAACTAATCGGTATAGTTATTGGGAAAACGGATGTCAAAGGCTTTCCAGACAGAAAAAGCTGAGTTCTATTTAACTCTTTGCTTCATTTTTCATAAACTGTGACTTATGACTGCAACAAAGTATATTTAATTGATTACATTTTTCATGCCTGTTTACTCCTTAAGAACAATGGTTCTCTTTTGTAAAGTACTCAATTCAAGGTGGTATGTGTGAGGACATTCACATAATTTTTAATGATTTTATTTGATGTTTTTCAAACATAATTTTAAAGGCTTTTTTTAAGCAATGCCAAAATAGCTAGTTAAATTGGTCAACTCATTCACCTGTCTCATCATGGGTTTATTGAGCAGTTCCTCTGTGTAAGCCCCTGTGAATGCAGAGGGAAGACAGAAATTGTAGTGTCTCATCTTCCAGCAGGATCGTGTCTATAAGAGTCTGGACTCTGGAGCTAGGCTGAGTGGGATCTCTAGTCACTGGGTGATCGAAGATCAACCTCTTCAGAACTCTTCTGTATACATCTGTGAAATGGGGATAAAAAGAGCTGGTGTGAAAATTCAGTGAACGCGTATGCGGAAGGGTTAGCATTGTGTGGCCCATAGTAAGAACTCCAAGTTAACTTACTTTCAGCCTAAATCTCATATAAGACAGACAGTCAAGAAGGGGAGGTTTTCAGGCAGGGAGGTCATGATAGGGTCGTGCCTGAAGGAGCTGAAGGTGTGACAGCAGTATCTCTGTGTAATTCAAACAAGCAGACAGTTCCACGGGAAAAATCGCTTTCAGATATGGGAAATAGAGTTAATTTTGGTTTCAGTGATGCTTACTGAGTTGCTTTAAACTCTGCAAGGGTTTTGGAACTATGGAAATATAATTCAAGACTGACATTGGATTTTTAAAATCAGCTCCTCTTCAAACTTTTGTAGTTAACATGCAAAGATAAACAATGTAGAATGCCAAAGCTGGTGGTTTACTGCTGTTACTTTTGAAAGCGTCGATGCTTTTGTTAAAAGTTACAGCGTAAGTGTTTCTGTACACTTTGAGCGAGTCAGAACTCTAGCCAGCCAGCCTATAATTTTGGCAGAAAACGTTCGTTGTGCTTGAATCACCTGTGCAGTTGTATCTGTGTTAACTTGACCTGTGCTAAATCATGACATCTGAATCATGGGTATTGTAATAAAAACCGAACCAAACCCATTGCTGTCAAGTAGATTCTGACTCATAGCGACCCTATAGGCTAGAGTAGAACTGCCCCATGGGGTTTCCAAGGAGCGGCTGGTGGATTCGAACTACCGACGTTTTGGTTAGCAGCTGAGCTCTTAAGCACTGTGCCACCAGGCTCAGGTATTATAATAGGTACTTTTATTTTTACTTTATTTCATATTAATATTCAGTTTTTATTTTTGAGGTGAAAGCAGAGATGTTGTCTTCCACCAATAGTCATTGTGTTTTATGTTACCAAAATAAATTAGATCAGAATTAACCATTTGAATACTTTGAACAAGTCTATATGGCTTCCTGTTTTCTAAGCTCTAAAAGGCATACTATAAGTTACGTGAATTAGAAAAAAGTCATTAAAATTACAACAATGAAATTACAGTTTTCACCTATCAGATTGTGGGGGAGACCAGAATCATTTCTGTATGTTTGACTTCTCTTTACAATGATGTATACAGGGTTACCTTTTTGGAGAAGATATGCTGCTGGCTTTGAAGATAGTACTGTACACATATAATGTATTAATATATTTTCATAAAAACTTCAAACAGCACTGAAGTTCATAGAGTTGAAAAGTGAAATTCCCCTTCCAGCTCCCCGCTCTTTCCATCCCCTCCCCTCCCCAAAGGTGAACACTAATAGCAGTTGGGGATGTATCTGTAATTTCCACGTGTATGTTAGGTTGTATTACTGTTTTAGTTAGCGAAAGCAGTGAAGAGATTTACGTTTGGAAAAACAGATACTTGCTGCCCTCTAGTGGTGCTCGCTTAATAGCACACAGTTTGTTTTGAAATAACAATTTAGACCTGAGTTGTGACTTAGGTTAAAACAGTAACAGTAAGAGAGATTAGAGAGTTGCAGCTCAGAGCGGGATAATTGAAGCCTACAGATCATTTCCCTCCAAATATACAGACAGCTGGGGGGCGGGAATAAAGAGGTAGATGGTAAGGGGAGGCATCTACGCGGACAGCTTGTTACCACCTCTCTTTGAAATTCATAAAAGTATAACTTATAGAATTTATATCTGAAATGACGTTTTGTATTATGCATTTGAGTATTTTTATCATAATAATCTTATTTGTTCAAAGTTGAAACAAAGTATTTCATTTGAAAAATAAAAAGCATTGGCTTTCCCTTAGATATTGGATCGGAAAGGTACACTTTGAGTTTCACCGTGCGGGATTCCCCGGCCCATTTTGTAAATGTAGCATCCTGGGGCAGCGAAGATTACATCAGGTCGCTTTCTGACAGCTTCAGGGTTGGCGAGTGCCGTAAGTCGTCCTTGATTCTTAAACTGTTTCTATTATAGTATTATTCCTGTCATCTGTTTGTGGTAACTATACTGTGGGAGTTAAAATGAAATAAGACACAGTTCATAACTCTTAAGAACCTTATCAGAAAAAGAAGTGAAGTGTTAAGAGCGTAAAGCAAGGCATTCCATATTATTACATGAAATGTATACAGGCATGATTGTGGTGGTTGTTAGGTGCTGCCGAGTCGGTTCTGACTTACAGCAACCCTACATACAACAGAACAAAACGCTGCCTGGTCCTGCGCCATCCCCACTGCTACAGCCACTGCGTCAGTCCATCTCGTTGAGGGTCTTCCCTCTTTTTCACTGACCCTCCACTTTACCAAGCATGATGTCCTTCTCCAGGGACTGGTCCCTCCTGATAACGTGTCCAAAATATGTGAGACGAAGTCTCCCCATCCTTGCCTCTAAGGAGCAGTCTGGCTGTATTTCTTCCAAGACATTTGCTCATTCTTCTGACAGTCCCTGGTATACTCAGTATTCTTCATCAACACCGTAATTAAAAAGCATCAATTCTTCTTCAGTCTTCCTTATTCATTGTCCAGCTTTCGCATGCATATGAGGCCATTGAAAATACCATGACTTGGGTCAGGCATACCTTAGTCCTCGAAGTGACATCCTTGCTTTTCAACACTTTAAAGAGGTCTTTTGCAGCAGATTTGCCCAACACAATACGTCGTCTGATTTTTTGACTGCTGCTTCCATGCGCATCGATTGTGGATCCAAGTAAAATGAAATCCTTGACAACTTCAGTCTTTTCCCCATTTATCATGATGTTGCGTATTGGTTCAGTTGTGAGGATTTTTGTTTTCTTTATGTTGAGGTGTAATCCCTACTGAAGGCTGTGGTCTTTGATCTTCATCAGTAAGTGCTTCAAGTCCTCTTCACTTTCAGCAAGCAAGGTTGAGTCATCTGCATATTGCAGGTTGCTAATGCATCTTCCTCCAGGCCTGATGCTTCTTCTTCATATACTCCAGCTTCTCTGATTATTTGCTCAGCATACAGATTGAACAAGTATAGTGAAAGGATACAACCCTGACCACACCTTTCCTGACTTTAAACGCAAAGTATCCCCTTATTCTGTTCAAATGGCTGCCTCTTGGTCTATGAACAGGTTCCGCATGAGCACAATTAAGTGTTCTGGGATTCCCATTGTGCAAACATGATAGTCACATATTTATCTAGGTAGTTTTATGATCTTTGATTTATTTCATACTCAGTTTGCATCAACCCTATTTTCATAATCATTTATCTGTAAACATATACTAGGGCCACTGAGTAGATTTTGATAAAAGTTAATATTTGACTTCTTAATGGATTTTATGGAACTTTGCTTTTAGTCCAAGTGCCAAATATTTTTCCTCCTCTACTCACCCTATCCTTCTGACTATTGAGTGCAGTATAGTGAAAGGAATAAGAACTTTGAAAACAGGTAAATCAGGTTCAAAGCACAGCTTCCACATTTAGTTACACTGTGGCTTTGAAGCAGTCTTTTAGTCTTGTTGGGCCTCAACTATAAAATAATACCCCATTAGGTTCTTGTGACTGTTGAATGAGGTAATGTGTCTAGTGTAAAGTGTAGAATTTAGTCACTTAATAGATGACAACTCTGTCCTCATACAAGAACTGAAGAGAGCACATGTACCGACTCTCTCTCACGGTCAAAACAGAGAAGGAAAGGGGTGACGGAGAGGTTGAACTGCTCCTCTCCAGTGCTGTGCTGTCGGGCAGCCCGCTGCCAGTTCCCGGTTCAGTACCTGGTCACCCAGTGCCTGGGGTTAGTGACCCTCAGGGTCTTGTGTGGCAGTTCTCTAACTAAATAACAAGGTCATTGACCTGTGGACTATAAAGGCAGAAAACTACAAACTTCACAGGGCCCAGAAGGTGATAAATATTCCTTGAATGAATGCAGGAATGTTAGTTATGTACAGAGATAAAGACTGTCTTCAGTATTGACATGTGTTATATGTTGATGGCTGTTGTGAGGGTGAATAAGAGATTTTAAAAGCCTAAAGTTGATGATTATAAATCTAAATAGGATGCTCATGAAAAAAGTATAGATTTTCAAGTTAAAACAATGTGGCTTCAAATTCCAGCTCTGCTACTTACTAGCTATCTAACTTCAAGAAAGCTGTTTAATGTCTTGGAGCTTCAGTTTCTTCAACTGTGCAATAGGGACAGTCATGGGACAGTTGTGTGAGAAATTAAAATAGAGCAGAAAAAGATCTCACCCAGGCCGTAGGGAAATGGAAATCCTACAACGTAAAGTTCACAAAGCTGGTAAGTGGCGGAGCCACAGTTTGTTCCCCTGGGTTTTCAGTGCACTTTCTCTCCCATCTCTGTTGTTTCAGAGGGCAGCTCTGAATTAGGTGGAAATCAATGATAAGTGGTTGTTGTATAGGAGGCATGCTGTGGCCAAATCAAATGTTCAGTGTAACTAATCAATAAAGTAATATGAATGGAGGTTCTATGTTGGGACTTGATACAAAGCATAAAAAATGTCATCTGGGATCACACTGATGGTCAGACCCCAGGATTCGGTGTCTCGGTGACACGAGAAGATGATTGTGAAGGACGTTCAGCACCCACTCAGGTAGCAGAGACGCTGCTACAAGTGCTGTGAGGTGTGTGTGTTTTGGGTTGATCCTGTTACTCTTTGTAATGCCATGATACTTCACTCTCTATCTTAGTGATCATTGAAAATCCGCTGGTCCAAAGAAAGGAAATGGAAAGAGAAGAAAAATTCAGCCCTGCAACTCCTGGGTAAGGATCTGTCCAGCACAGAGATCAACGATTGTGCTGGAATGGCCGTCACTAGTAATTTTTGTGTCTTAGCAGAGAGTTTACACTTCAGTTCAAAAGTAAGGAGTTTAATTCTTCCTCTCAGAATTTATCTTTGCTTATGACATGTCTTTGTTCATGTACTTTGATAAAGGGTCACATGAAAAAATGGCTTTGTTTTTAGTACTTTGATTCTCATTCTTAGATTTGCAAAAATCGGACTCTAGTCACATTAAAATGAAACAATGAGAAGTAAAGATAAACCTTGGAAATTACATGTCTATTTTCATATCAAGGTATGACTCTACTTTCATGCCATTTTGTCTTAGGCCAGGCTCCCAAGAGGCAGAGCCTGAGACAAGGATTCTTGCGCAGGGGGTTAACTGAGGGAGAGCTGGGGCTGGGGGAGCTGGGCAAGAGGCGGGCTCAGCTGGAGCCCAGCCTCAGCCTGATCCCAGGAGGGAGCTCTGGGCATGAGTGGCACCACAGAGGTGTACCCCTTGGAGGAGCTGGACGTTTGTACCCTGTATTAGTCATTGGCTGCAGTCCACCTCCCCACATGAGGGGACATAACCTTGAAGGCATTTCTGGCCGAGGGCAGTTCTCGAAAGAATGGTGTAGCTGTGAGTGACCCTGCACCAGCCTGGTAAAGGGTTCTGGTGGGGCACCACAGTCTCGGGTGTGGGGCACACGCACACACCAAAGTGTTTTCTTAATGACAGTATATTTTAGACAAAAGTGTTTTTGCAGTGTTTTTCAATGGTTCTTAGAATAAAAAGTGTACATTTCTTAGTATAGTCTAAATTACGACCAAAAAATAATTCAGTTGTGAACGTGGGAGTATTTTTCTGTGCAAGAATCATTGAGTATTAACTTCTTTGTGTGTTTTTGCAATTTAGCAACTGTAAACTCTTGCTCAGTGAGAATCATTCAATGGTAAAAGTCTGTTCCAGTTATGAAGTGGATACCAAGCTACTTTCTTTGATATACTTACCTGTGAAAGAGTCTCATGATTATTATTCACTGGGTGACATTGTTGCAAATGGACAAAATCTCGATGGGAGGATTATTAATGTGCTCGCAGCAGTGAGGTCGGTAAGTTAAAATCTGGAGTACTGTACCCTCTGGATTTTGATCAGTAGTCAGCTGGATTGATTTAAGAAAAGGGTAATGCTTCTCATTAAAGGGAAACTAGCATTTTATTTGTAAAGGAGTAGCAAAATAAAATCGTATATAAATCCTAACTGAGTACCTACTGGGAAGTGACCTGCTGGCTCTGTGAGAGCTTCCACACTCTGGTCAACCACCGGAAGGGTCTGCCCATTGACTTGGAGTTTGTCTTTCACCTTCTTGAAAGGGTGTGAGTTGAATAAACCAGGGCATCAGTTCTGTGCACAGTGTTCTGGGGAGCCTCCTGGGTGGGGAGGGGTGAAGGCCCCCTGCACTGAGCCCAGAGCACGAAGCGCATGTCCCAGGTGCACGGACTCTCTCACCCGCTGTGTAGGCATCATCTCCTCGGCTCAGTTACTGTAGCTCATTCTGAACTCTGCAGCTGACAAGGACTTAGAGGTGGACCTTAAAAGTAGAGCCTCACAAATGAAGCACAGGGAGAAAGTGAAAGGGGCAAGCATGAGTCATTTCTCAGTATAGAAAGGATGATGGTCAAAACACACAAAAGGAAATACCCAGCACTCTTCCTGTAGTGAATGTAAGTAAACACTAACTGCTTTTAGGTGTTAGATACTGACAGGGAGTGTGACTCCCCCGCCCTGTGACAAGTGGCTTTGTTTGCCACTCTTGCCCCGGCCTAGCACAGTGCCTGCCCCCGTGGCGAACCCTCCGTATAATTTAGGATGGAGGAATAAATGTCCTGTATGACAGTCTTGAAAAATAGAGATCATTTTCTGGGCAATTGAGGTTCAGTCTTACTTGAAGGCAGGAAAGGATCTCAATTTCCTAGCAGTTCTGTAAAATGTCATTATAGTTACAGTGTAGTAAGAATTACACACACACGCGTGCGCGCGTGCGTGCCTGGTACCCTCTTCCCTGGGTTACGTTACCTCTTTTCATGACTTCTGTCTCCCGTTGTGCTTCAGCCCGCTTGCATTGCCTTTTCTCCAGATTTGTATTTTACGTATTCTGTCGTCCTTCACTGTCTTTTCAGGTCTTTACAAGTTTCAAGTCTTCACAACTCTTCAGTACAGTTTCTCCTCACCCCCAGGGACAGAGCAGGCCTCTCCCATACTCTAGCTCTCCTTTTCTCTAGCTTTCTTCCCTTGGCAACTTTGAGTCTCCCCCAGCCCCTTCCTGCACAGCTCAGTGCCACAGCAGCCGACACGACAGATGTGGTGGTGGGGACGGCAGAGGAGGCAGCAGCTGTTTTCACGTGAGAGCTCAGTGGGGAGACTCCAGGTCCCCCGAGTCCCACCTCTTTGATCTCTTCCCTCACCACATGGACAGAACCAGACAGTGCCAACGAGCCTTCATACCACCATCTCCTTCAATCTCCTGCCTCCCTTCCCTCCCCCAGGAAGGCAGAGGAGGTCTCACCACCAACAGCTGACTAATGAGCTGAGGCCACTGGGGCCAGAGAGCCCATCCGTCAGTCACAGGAGCTCCAGGCCGGCCTGCGCTGAGCCCTGGGACACACAGATACGGAAATACCCTATCTACCTCGAGGGGTCCAGAGACACCCCAGGGCTGGTCGTCAGCCATCTGTCCCAGCATGGTGGAAAGAGCTGACGGTCTTGACTTAATGCTCGTGGGTCTGTGTGTCTTTTCAACCAGATGTGTGTGTAACCTACAACTGCAGCTAGACACCGAGTTTAGAGATAAGATATGCTTTCAATTCATCAAATAGTAGTAGTTCTTGCTATTTTAATGTTTCTAACTTGGTATTTAAAAGGCAAACATTTAAATATTTCCATCAAATGTGTATTAAGTACCTGTACAACTATAGGTGAAGAATAATCATTTCTTTTCATTTCTAAGGTTGGAGAGCCAAAATACTTTACGACTTCAGACCGAAGAAAAGGCCAGAGGTGTGAAGTGAAACTCTATGATGAAACAGAGTCTTCTTTTGCAATGATATGGTAAACTCCCACTTCTGTTCGTAACTGTAAAATTACTGCTATTATCACTGAGACAGAACAGTTGTACTTTATCAAAAAGATGATGGATTTAATATCAGGAGAGAAAAGATATTAAAAATACACCCTGCTTCTGTATGTTCAGTGTTACTCCATTGCTATAGACGGCGCTGTAGGCCCACTGTCCCTGAGGTCTCCAGATGGGGGAGAATTGCTAGGATGGGCTCCTCGTGTTCTGTTTTCTCACCAGTGGTATTTAATCAGGCCCCACTGATGAGGAGCAAGGCAGACTTGACCTGCGCGATAAACCAGAGCGGGCGTGGAGGGGGTGGAGCCGCAGCTCCCTCGGGCTGGGCTCTGTGGGGCCGGGGTCTGATACAGGCAGCGCCTGGGCCCTGAAGCACTGCCAGTGCAACAGAGTGTTGAGATAGATTCCAAACACTGGGCCCCACAGGAAGCACTTAATTTGAAAAGTGCCTTGAGCCCATCAAGTGACCTGAGCAGTTTATCCCTTGTGGGGACCCTACCTCAGTGGTCTGAAAGAGTGACTCCTAGCCGCTCGGTTCTAACTAGCCTCGAGTGGCCTGAGTACGGGAAAAGACAGAATTGATGGACGAGCAGAACATTGTTAGGTGTGTATTTGTTGACGGGGGATGGCTTATCAGTAGATGTTAAATACTCTGTTGAGTAGAGAGTGTAGCCCTGCAGAAGGCAGGAGAAGCAAACAGCCTTCACCTGTGTCTGGGACAGCGTGGGTGACTGTTGGCCATCAAGGCATTCTCTTCGGGTAAATAACGTCACTACCGGTTTTCTTCTAATGAATTGACTTTTATCGTTTCTGTGTTAAAAATTCAGTTGGGATCGTGAATCTACTCTACTTGCACAGAGCTGGGCGCCACGAGAAACAGGTATCATACTTCAGTGATCATGTTCAATGTTTGTCATTTCTTTACCCTCGTGCGGTAATTCTAAAATGGCTTTTCTTCCCAAACAGTAATATTTGCCTCAGATGTAAGAATAAGTTTTGACAAATTTCGGAACTGCATGACGGCAACTGTAATCTCAAAAACCATTATTACAACTAATCCAGGTAAAAAGCGTTTTGACATTTTTCTTCCCTTTTGAAATGATCTTGTCAGACATTCCAATATTTATGTGGTGTATTTAAGGATGAAAATGCAATTTGGGTTTAATTTTAATTAAAAGTGAAAAACTGCTTTATATGACATTTTTTAAACTTGCGATGAGCTGTACATCTTTGGTGTCTTTACTAAAGGAATGTGAGGAACCAGACTAATCTTTAAGGCATCATCTATTGTAATGAATTTTGAGAGATCAGTGTTATTGATTAGATAACATAAATTATCGACTATTTAGAAAATAAATCCAGTTTCCATGCACTCAAATAACTTTTATTGCTAGAACATTGGGAACACACATATGTTTCCCTTAGTTCATAGCTGTCAGTTACATGCCCAGAGAGCTCACAGAAGGGTTGTTCTTCCTGGGGCCCTGATGCTGACCCCACAACTTGGCCCAGGCCACTCCTGAGCGTTGGAGGGATCAGGCTCAGGTCCCTTGTTCAAAGGGGGACACTTTACCCCAGCATGAAATCAGGGGACCAAGACATGGGGGGATCAGGGAGCTCCTGTCCTTAGCATTCTCAGAGTGCTTAATAGGACAGATGCGGCGACCAGCCCGATACTGCAGAGGAGCCCAGAATGACCAGAAATGGAGTGCTGCTGTTCTTGTTAGTTGCCATGGAGTAGACTCCGACTCATGGCGACCCCACGTGACAGCGTAGAACTACCCCATAGAGTTTTCAAGGCTGTGACCTTTCGGAAGCAGATCGCCAGGCCTGTCTTCCGAGGTGCCTCTGGGTGGGTTCAAACTGCCAACTTTTCAGCTAGTAATTGAGTACTTAACTGTTTGCATCACCCAGGACTCCAGAAATGGCACAGTCCTTTGCAATCTCAAGAAGATGCAAATATAGAAGTGTGTTACTTTAGAATAAGCATACTATGCTGGCTGGTAACAAAGTGTCAGCAGTGGCTGAGAATCATAAAGCAATTTCATGTTTATAACCAAACCATTCTCCAGATTTCTGAAAGGTGGCATTTCTGTGAAAGCCAACCTAAGCTAATGGGACTGTTTTCTATAAGTGCACGGCATCGGCTCCTTGGGCGGCAGCGCGGGTGTTCAACGTGTGACGCTCACCACGGAGCTCGCATTTACTGAGCACAAGCACCAGTGGGCGCGGGACAAAGCGGGCAGCCATCTCTGCCCTCACGGAGCTTGTATTCTAGCAGGAGAGAGACAGACAATAAAGATGGCACATCCACGATCATGGAGTATTTGAGGAGAGAGACTGGAGTAGGGTCAGGAGGGCCCAGAGTGCCGGGCTGTGTGTAGGGGCAGGTTGTCGTTTTCAGTAGGTTGTCAGGCAGGCCTCCCTGGGAAGGTGGCATTGGAGCAGAGTTGGCGAGGAGTTGGGGGTTGAGCCAAGGAGAGCGTGTTCTGGGAAGAGCAAAGGAACAGCCAGCGCGAAGGCCCTGAGGCTGGAGGGTGCCTGCGCAGAGGAGGAGTGACAAGGAGCCGTGCTTGTACAGGAGACAGCAGGGCACGGAGAGGAGAGAGGAGTAGAAGTTGGGGTGGGCGGGGTGTGGGGGGTGGGAGGTCAGTGGGGCCTTGCAGGCTGTCTCCAGGACCTAGCTCACTTGCCTTTTACTCATTATACATTTTTACTTTAAGATACGCCAGAAGCTAATATCCTACTGAACTTCATAAGAGAAAATACAGAGACAGGTGCTCCAGATAATGAAATAGACAGTTATTTGAAAGAATCCATAAATTGTAAGTAACCCTTTAAATATTATTTGAATTAATAGAGGTCAGAGTTTGGGCCTGTGACGTTTTGTTTGACATAGTGAGAATTACCATATTCTAATTCTGTAGCTGTTATATTTCCAGTTCTAAAAAAGGCAGTTTTAAACTTTTGGGGACTTTTATAATCTTTTTTACAAATCTGATAAAATCTACTGACCCTTTCCTCCTAAAGGCAACTGTACACACACATAGAATTTTGCAGAAAATGTCACGTGTTCACAGACCGCAAGTCCATGAAGTCCAGGTTGAGGCTTGACTTTTAAAGGGATCCTGTTTATTGCCGTCTGTGGCTTAGGCGGGACCTGAGGGAAAAGGAGAGAACAGCAGAGTCCTAGCTCATTCCCTGGGGGCATTTTCTCTAATCTCATCCTGGGAGATCCAGTATTTCATCATCATGGAGGACACTAAATCCATCTCCAGAGAGGAAACATTGAATGAACCATGGTAAATTATTCTGCAAGCTCATCAAATAGACTCGGTCATCCAGAGTTGTGTAAGAGCAAGAACTCTGTCACTGCTTCGTGAAGGGTAGTTAGCCTGTTTCCTGTCCACTGCAGTCCCTGATAGAACAAGATGCTACTGGATCAAAATTAAACTGTAATTTTTTTTTTATAATGTTTTTGCCTACAAGAAGGGACTATAAAATTGTGTTATCAGAGTTAGAATAGTGATTATTGTTACTTCGGAAGCATTTAAAAATGTTGGGTCATTTGCCCAAGATACCATTTCAGGAAACTTCCACGAAGCACAGAAGAGTCCAATGAGTTGTGAGGTGGGTTTGCTACAAATTTATTTCAGTCCTTGAGAGTTATTCAACCCTGAGTAGGTACAGTTGCTTTTGGGCTACTCAAGGGTATCATATTTGTATGGAAATTTTCTTCCTGTTCAGTGTATTACACCAAAGTGATCACAAAGGGTAGTACTTGCAGATTCCTTTCTTTAACCTGATTGTGGGAACTTTCATAATTAAATTTACTCAGAGGCAAAAATGAGTTGCTTTATCTTTCAAGGAGACCCTGGTGGTATAGTGGTTAATAGCTACAGCTGCTAACCAAAAGGTTGGCAATTCGAATCCACCCGGCGCTCCTTGGAAACTCTATGGGGTGGCTGTACTCTGTCCTATAGGGTTGCTGTGAGTCGGAATCAACTCGACAGCAATGGTTGTGGTTTTTTTTTTTTTTTTTTTTGGTTTTATATTTTAAAATACTCATTACTCCCATGAAAAACTTAAGGTGGGAACTGATGAAATATTTTAGGGTAAAACTATGATCGGGTTTTTTTAAACCTTCTATTAAAAATGATAGTGCTCAATATTGAAAGTATTATACAATATTAAAACAATATAGAATACAACAAACATCCCAGAAATAAACAGTGTTACCATTTTGTGAACATCTTCCAATCCATCTTTCTGTGCATAGACACTAATAGACAAAGATATAAAAATATGATAGAGAAAGAGACATACAGACCATAACTTTTACTGAAGGAAATTAAATTTTATGTACTAGAGGTCAGAAGAAGAAAAGAAACCAATGAGATGCTGAAGGGACTGGGCAACTTCTGATAGAATTCTCCTTACCCAAGTGGTATCTGCTCCTGTAAGATTCCTCTAAGATTAAGAAGACTAAACATGCCTAGTAGGTGGTGGTTTTGGGTTTTGTAAATTTTCTTAGATAAACCTTTAGAATTGAAGTATAACGTACACGTGAAGTAAGCCAGCTACGAGTGGACCGCTCAGTGCGTTTTCTCATGGCACACACCGTTGACCCTCCTCCCCGCTGGGTGGGAAATGCCAGTGCCCAGAAGACCCCTCACGCCCCTGCCAAAGTAAACATGATTCTCACTGTAACACTGTGCAAACCACAGATGAATTCAGCCTGCTTTGGAGTTTTAAAAATGAAATCATACCATGTATACTCACTCTTGTGTCTGATTTGTTTACATTGTTCGTGAGATTCAGTCATGCTTCTGTGTGTAGTAGTTGTTTTTATTGATGTATGTACTGTTCCATTATATGAATATAAACCTGTTGCTGTCAAGTTGATTCCAGGACATAGTGACCCCATAGGACAGAGCAGAACTGCCCATAGAGTTTGCAAGGAGTGGCTGGTGGATTTGAACTGCCCACCTTTTGGTTAGCAGCCGAGCTCTTAACCATTGTGTCACCAGGGACACGTGAATATGAATATAACCCGAAACCCACTGCCATGGAGTCGATTCCAACTCATAGCAACCCCATAGGATTTCCAAGGCTGAAATCTTTACAGACGCAGACTGCCACGTATTTCTCCTGAAGTGGTTTTGAAACGTGAACCTTTTGGTTTGCAGTCGAGTGCTTTAAGCACTGCCACTAAAGAAACAAAAAACCAAACTCGTTGCCGTCGAGTCGATTCCAACTCATAGCGACTCTATAGGACAGAGTAGAACTACCCCATAGGGTTTCCAAGGAACAGCTGGTGGACTTGAACAGCTGACCTTTTGAGCTGAGCTCTTAACCACTGTGCCACCAGGGCTCCATAATTTCTCTATTTTACTGAATCCGGTTTTTCCTATTATAAAAATTTCCGCTTCTTTTTGCACAAGTCTTTAGATGAGTCTGTGTTTCTGTTGGGCATGCGCCTAAGAGTAGAATTGCTTTGTCAGGCGTTTGTTCCAGTGGTTTTCCAAAGTTTGTACCAGTTGACACTTCCACCAGCAGTGATTTCGAGTTCCTCTCCAGTGTTTGGTACTGTTAGTCTTTTAAATGGTGGATGTTTCATGGAGTCCTACTGTTGCATTAATTTGCATTTACCCAGTGATTAATATGTTCATTAGCTATTTTGCCATCTTTTTTTGTTATGTGCCTTTTTAAGTCTCTTTCTGATTTTTAAAATTAAGCTGACTTTCTTATAGATTTTTAAGGTCTTTTAGATATTCTGGAAACGAGTCCTTTGTCTCGTTATGGATGACCACCATCTCCCATTTGTGCTTGCATTTTCATTCTTTTTATGGGATCTTTTGATGATCAGAAATTCTTTATTTTACTAATGACTAACTTCTCATCCTTTTGCTTTTTTGCTTTTATGTCTATTTATATAATCAGTTTTAATATAACAATAATTTTTCTGCTACTTAAGCTGCTCATGTTCTCATTTGAACTTTGTTGCTCTTCTATTTGGATGTAATCCTATGTAGTTCTTAGAATGTACATAAACTGGAATCACTTATTTTTTTTTTTAGTAAATACAATAGTTGATGTCTATACAGTGAAGCAATTAAAGGTGAAAGCTTTGAAGAAGGAAGGAAAAGCAGATCCTTTCTATGGCATTCTTTACGCTTACATTTCTACACTGAGCATCGATGACGAAACAACAAAAGTAGTTCGGAATAGATGGTAAGCGGCCAAGTTACCTTCAGCAAATTCATCTTTGTAAGAAGCAAAAACAATTCTTGTTGATAAATTTTAAGCTCTGTAAAAGTAACAGCTGTTTTTTTTTGACATAACAGTGGTTATGTATTTGAGAGAAACATATAGAGAAATAACTCCTGCTGAGAAGTTTCCATGCCAAACTATTTAGATTCAAAGATTATAATTTTCTTTTAAAGTAATGTTTAATCTGCTGTACTTCAGTAATCGTAAAAAATAAAGATATAATACTGACAGAAACATTTAACTGGGATGACAAACTGTTGTCTTACAACTTACTAGAAAATTATTTTGGTTTCCATGTCCTATAGTCCTGCAGTGACAGAATTTTAAAAAATTATTTTCAACTGCATGATGAATAGGATGGCCAACGTCTCCTGAAGAAAATATAGTATCTACCTGCATGGAAAAGTAAACCTCAGAAGTTTTAATCATCTTAGCCGAAGCGCACTCGGCAAGCAGCGTCCGAAACACTCCTGTGGAAGTCTCCCTGGGGGTTTTGTAATTGATATTTTTATTGGGATAATTGTAGACTTATATGCAGTTGTAAGACATAATACAGAGAGATCTCTTGTACACTTTGCTCAGTCTCTTCCAGTTGTAATATTTTACAAAACTACGGCTCAAGATCACAGCCAGTATAATGCCCTGGATACAAACCACCGTCTCATCCAGATTTCCCCAGTTTTACCTGTGTGTGTGTGTATTCCATACAGTTTTGTCACATGTTGTTGTTAGGTGCCACCGAGTCAGTTCCAGCTCATAGCAACAGAACGAAACACTGCCCGGTCCCGCACCATCCTCACAGTCATCGTTACGCTTGAGCCCATTGTTGCAGCCACTGTGTCAGTCCATCTCATTGAGGGTCTTCCTATTTTTCACTGACCCTCTACTTTACCAAGCATGATGTCCTTATCCAGGGACTTATCCCTCCAGATAACATGTCCAAAGTGTGTGAGACGAAGTCTCACCATCCCTTACCTCTAAGAAACATTCTGGCTGTACGTCTTCCAGGACAGATTTGTTTATTCTTTTGGCAGTCCATGGTATATACCATATTCTTCACCAACACCATAATTTAAAGACGTCAATTCTTCAGTCTTCCAACCTGAGGGGCTCGTCTTGCGGCACTATATCAGACAGTGTTCTGCTGCTATTCATAAGGTTTTCACTGGCTAATTTTTTTCCAAAGTAGACCTCTAGGTCCTTCTTCCTAGTCGGTCTTAGTCTGGAAGCTCAGCTGAAACCTGTCCAGCAAGGGTGGCATAACTTCCAGCATCACAGCAATACGAAAGCCCCCACAGTAGGACAAACTGACAGACGTGTGGGGGTCATATGTATAGGTTTCTGTATGTACTGACACAGTCAAGATACTGACCTGTAGATTTATAAAACACTTAATGATTTGGTGTTAAAGGTGAAAAACTGATGTGCAGACTGCTGTGCAAGGCATGTGTTTATTTTTTGAAAAATAGTTTTCAAAATATTTTTTTATTGTCTCCCTTATTTTTCCTTCCATTTCTAATATTAATAGCTGAGGAAAAGCACCTAACATTTACTACAAATTTGATCTTGTGCTAGACGAGAAACAGCTATCTTCACTGTTGTACTTTAAGTGAAAGTTTACAATTCAAGTTAGTCTCTCATACAAAAATTTATACATAACATTGTTATGTGACCCTAATTGCTCTCCCTGTATTGTGACAGCACATTCCTCTTTTCCACCTGATTTCCCGTGTCCATTCAACCAGCTCCTGACCCTCTCTGCTTTCTCATCTCACCTCTGGACAGGAGCTGCCCATTTAGTCTCATGTATCTACTTGAGCTAAGAAGCACACTCTTCATGAGTATCATTTTATGTTCCATAGTACACTCTAATCTTTGACTGAAGAGTTGGCCTCGGGAATGGTTTTAGTGCTGGGTTGACAGAGAGTACGGGGGCCATGCCTTCTGGGGTTCCTCTAGTCTCAGTCAGACTGTTAAGTCTGGTCTTTTTACTAGAATTTGAGTTCTGCACCCAACCTTTCTCCTGCTCCATCCAGGACTCCCTGTTGTGGTCCCTGTCAGGACAGTCATTGGTGGGAGCCGGGCACCATCTAGTTCTTCTGGTCTCAGGCTGATGCAGTCCCTAGTTTATGTGGCCCTTTCTGTCTCTTGGGCTAATGCTTTCCTTGTGACTTTGGTGTTCTTCATTCTCCTTTACTCCACGGGGGTTGGGACCAATTGAAAGGCAAGAAGCCACTATCTTCAGATCATTCCTTTATTTGAGAAATTTGAATTAGTCTTCCTGTTCACATTGGCCGAAGATCTCCTCAGAAATATGGAACAGTATGAACTTACCACTTAAAGAGAGAGTGCATCATCAGCAATGTCCACAGCATTTAGGAAGTGGAACCAACAAAATTCCCTGGGGTTTTTCTGAGTGTGTACAGAGGACACAGTATAGGGACCCCTGAGCCCGGGCTTTCTAGGAACAGACGTGATTCCTGCCCCCCACAACTCACCCACCAGGCGGAAAGTCAGAGGACGCACCTGCAGTGACCGAGACAGATGGGACAGAACGTCCCCCAGCACTGACGTGGAAGTTCTGCAGTGCTCAGAGAAGGGAAGGGGTGAGGACGGGGGGACAGGAAGGGAAATGAGCTGGGCTGGGCCTTGGAGCGGGGGCAGGAATCTCAGCAGACAGGAGCAGAGGAAGGGCAGGACAGTGAGAGTTTTGGGTCGTCCCGGTTTCAGGTAAACCACGGATGCTGCAGATGAGACTGCACGGCGGAGAACGCCCTCCTGACTGTTCCTCGTTATTTCTTCTGTCTGCCTTTCAGCCTGCACGGTGCCCGTGACTGGCAATATTGCGTATGCTGGCTTAGCCTTTTAAGCGGTAATTCTTCTGAAGACATCAAGCTTGTCACTAATAGCTGTCCTGTTTTATTGTTTTCTTCGTTTCATTTCAGTTCGGGCTGTGGTTACATCGTAAATGAAGCATCCAACGCTTGTACAACTTGCAACAAAGACTCTTCAGGATTTCAGTCTGTCTTTTTCAGCTTTGATATGCTGGTTGACCTCAGCGACCACACGGGCACCCTCCACTCCTGCAGTCTCACCGGCAGTGCTGCTCAGGAGACTTTGGGCTGCACGGTAAAGCACAGGAAGGAAGAAATGCTTAGAAATATTTCAAAATTGACTTCCCTTCCCCCAAACATAGGTTATTTTTGTGAACATTTGGTAGAAACTAAGTCATTAATAGAAAGGCCTGGAAACAGTCTATCATGATTTAAACACACATTGCCTTGCAGGAACAAATAGTTCCATGTTGCATATTAAAATCATAGCTAGTATGGTCTATTATGAATAATGACTAAGGCCTTTAGCCGAAGTGGAGGAATTCATAGGAAATTTTGTATAATCAGGTAACATTGGGTTAAACAGTACGTAGGAGACTTTGGTCGGTCATGTGGTGCCTATTCCAGGGCAGGGTTTGGGGTGTCTCACTTCACAGCTAGAGTCAGCCCTGACCGTTCTCCCTGGTCCGCGCTTTAGAACAGCAGCAGTACTGGGAGATCAGCAGGTGTGGTTATGATTTGTTGTCACAGCCAGCTCGTGGGACTTCCCAGCAAACCTTGGTTCCGAATTCTGTCTCCGCGTTGCTAAGGGGACTCTTCTATGCCAAACCCCTGATTGGCCACAGAGATTCAGGTGTATGGCCTGTCCTGCTTTAGCAAGAGAGTCGAGCTTATTCATGCTGAAGAAAATTCCATCTCTAGTGAGCAAGTTTACATTTCACATTGTCGTCGAGATGAGTTATCTGTATTAACTTCAGAAATATTTGTTTTATCTTCTTTTTTTAACCAGGTAAATGAATTTCTAGCAATGACGGATGAACAGAAAACAGCATTAAAGTGGCAATTTCTTTTGGAAAGAAGCAAAATTTATTTAAAAGTTAGTGTATTTTACAGTGCTGTATCATTCTGTTTATTCAAACAATAAGAAAATCCTAGGGTAGAGACCTAATAAATTAGGGAATTTATTATTTTTAATGATGCCCAATTCCCAGAGGTGCAGAAGGATTCAGCTACTCTAGAAACAATGGAAAGAATCTTTTTTTTTTTTTTTCATAAAGTATAAAGGAGTTACAAATGACACCTGAGAAAGAGCTCAACAAAGCATCCACTAATGTTAACTCCAGGCAGTGCAGCAGCCTTCAGTCAGGCTGGTTCTCCCTGCCCCTAGCATGGTGAGACTGGACAAGCGAGCTAACCTCTCTCAGCCTTAAGGTTTTATGATCCTACAACTCTAACTTGTAAGATAGACGTATTATTTATATATATATATATATATATATATATATATATATGATATGAATTATACATAGTGTTATTAAATTATATCATCATATCCCTATCTAACAGATTATGTCGCTACTACAGGTTCATATCGCATCAGAAATTAGTAGTCAATATACACATTAAGCCCTTTTTTCTACATGAATTTTCATAAAATCATTCAGAAGCCAGATCTGTAGTTTCTCAACCATGCTTGAGAGTAGAATACTTTCCCTCACCTTACAACTTTTAATTTAAGTTTATGTTAACATCTGTAAACAGAACTTTCATTGCTGATTTTTATTCATAACATTGGTTTTCAACTTTATACATAAGGTGATTTTTACAAGCAGCTGTTTTTCTTCCTACAGTTTGTTTGGTCACACAGAGCAAGGGGCGGATTCAGAATCAGTGTGCTGTCATGTAAGCTTGCAGATCCTGCTGAGGCGAGTAGGAACTTGTCTGGACAAGGAAATATTTAAAACTTCCATTTTAAACTCTGGAAAAGTATAAGGAGTTTTAACTCCCCTTAAAGTGGAATATTGTTTGAAAATTATGGGTAAAATTGTCTTTTCACCAAGTGTGTTAAAAATGTTTCTCTATTGTTTCCTTCTGGAGTTGGCTTGGTGGAAGTCTGAGCTGGGCTCACTTCGTAGAAGGCCTTTGCACTGGCTCTGCTCCATCTCTTCCTCAGTTGGAAAATGTTTGCATGATGAATAAACAAGTTTTTCATCTTTGCCACAGATAGAATGCTTTCTCATCTTTAGCCGTTTTATTCTTTGTCTTGTTTTCCTGAAGAAAGTCCCTGGGCCAAGTTGTGCGAGTGATCTGAAAACCAAAGTGCTTTTCTTACCCCTTCCTTCTGTGATGACACATCCCAGCCACCCAGTGTTTGCAAGGCTTGCTGACTCAGGGGTCACACTTAGGAGTCTGAATCAACGGGGAGGAGACCAGCTTCAAAAGTTACATGAGCAGCGCCCTAGTCTCAGGAACTTTGAAGGGCAGGAGACCCACTCATATTAAGACCACAGCCTCCCTTCTGGCTGAGTTGTCTTTCCGGCAGCCCAAAGCACACTGCTTAGCTTGTACTCTGTCTGAGAAGACCGGCAGCTGGTGTCAGCACCGCCCTGCTGTCTGTGAGTAGCCAGTGTGCCTGGGGCCTGGTGCTTCAAGAGGCTCCACTTATCCAACGCAGGACTGAAGAAAAAGGGGAAAAGTAAGTAATGAAACTCTTCTATAAACCTGGTGTTGGAAGAGGATCCAGTCAATGGCTTTCATCAGATGCAGCCATGGGGAAGGGGTGTGCGGTGACTCCTGATATGCCCAGACGGGTGATGAGGGCGGTGATGAAGGCCTTCCCCTAGCTGTGCAGACAGCCAATGGCCCTCCCGAGGAGCGTCTTTCCCTCTCCTTTGGGGAGGAGAAGTGGATTTCTTAAGCAAAGTGAATTGAGCGGGGTGGGTGGGCAGGGAAGGAAGGATGGACGTGTGGTGGAGGAGAAGGAGAAGGACGATCCTCATTTGGAAGGGGAGAGCCAGGCAGGGGAGGAGAGGACGAGGGGGCGCCTGGCAGCTGGGTTCACACTCACTCTAGGTTAAGACTGGAAATGGTGTCCCCTCTGCTTGGTTCCTGTGTCAAAGAGCACATGAGATGGGGAAGGACACCTAGCCCCAGATGGCATGTCCTGAGCTGCTGGGCCAGGCCTCCTGGTGGCTGCCCTCTAGCAAAGGCCTGGGGGCCCATTGGTCAGCAGGGTCCGCAGCAATAAGGCCTGGGCAAGCTGTGCGCCTGACATCCAGTCCAGGGGCCCCAGCCTTTTGTGCTGTTCCACCATTGGCTTCAGTATATATTTTGTATATACGTTGTTGTTCGGTACTGTCGAGTCAGTTCCGACTCATAATGACCCTGTATACAACAGAACCAAACACTGCCCGGTCCTGCGCCATCCGAACAATCATTGTTACGTTTGAGCCCATTGTTGCAGCCACTGTGTCAGTCCATCTCGTTGAGGGTCTTCCTCTTTTTTGCTGACCTTCCACTTTATGAAGCATGATGTCCTTCTCCAGGGACTGGTCCCTCCTGATAACGTGTCCAAAGTCCGTGAGATGAAGTCTCGCCATCCTTGCTTCTTAGGAGCGTTCTGGCTGTACTTCTACCAAGACAGAGTTGTTCATTGTTCTGGCAGTCCATGGGATATTCAATACTCTTCACCAACACCAGAATTCAAAGGCATCAATTCTTCTTTGGTCTTCCTTATTCATTGCCTGTCTTTCGCATGCATATAAGGTGATTGAAAACACCATGACTTGGATCAGGCACACCTTAGTTCTTAAAGTCATGTCTTTGCTTTTTAACACTTTAAAGACTTTAAAGAGGTCTTTTGCAGCAGATTTGCCCAATGCAATGCGTGTTTTGATTTCTTGACTGCTGCTTCCATGGGTGTTGATTGTGGATCCAAGTAAAATGAAATCCTTGACAACTTCAGTCTTTTCTCCGTTTATCATGATGTTGCTTATTGGCCCAGTTGTGAGGATTTTTGTTTTCTTTATGTTGAGGTGTAATCCATACTGAAGGCTGTGGTCTTTGATCTTCATCAGTAAGTGCTTCAAATCCTCTTCACTTTCAGCAAGCAAGGTTGTGTCATCTGCATATCGCAGGTGGTTAATGCATCTTCCTCCAATCCTGATGCCTCTTTTTCTTCATATAGTCCAGCTTCTTGGATTATTTGCTCAGCATACAGATTGAATAACTATGGTGAAAGGATCCAACCCTGATGCACACCTTTCTTGGAGTTTAAACCACACAGTGTCCCCTTGTTCTGGTCAAACAACTGCCTCTTGGTCTAAGTACAGGTTCCTCATGAGCACAATTAAGTGTTCTGGAATTCCCATTCTTTGCAGTGTTATCCACACAGTCAAATGCCTTTGCATAGTCAATAAAACACGGGTAAACATCTTTCTGGTATTCTCTGCTTTCAGCCAGGATCCATCTGACATCAACAATGATATCCCTTGTTCCATGTCCTCTTTTGAATCCAGCTTAAATTTCTGGCAGTTCCCTGTCGATGTGCTGCTGCAACCACTTTTGAATGATTTTCAGCAAAATTTTACTTGTGTGTGATATTAATGATATTGTTTGATAATTTCTACATTCTGTTGGATCACCTTCCTTTGGAATGGGTACAAATATGGATCTCTTCCAGCTGGTTGGCCAGGTAGCAGTCTTCCAAATCTCTTAGCATAGACAAGTGAGCGCTTCCATCGCTGCATCTGTTTGTTGAAACATCTCAATTGGTGTTCCGTCAATTCCTGGAGCCTTGTTTTTCACCCACATCTTCAGTGCAGCTTGGACCTCTTCCTTCAGTACCGTCAGTTCTTGATCACGTGCTACCTTCTGAAATGACTGAATGTCGACCAGTTCTTTTTGGTGCAGTGACTCTGTGTTCCTTCCGTCTTCTTTTGATGCTTCCTGTGTCATCTAATATTTTCCCCGTAGAATCCTTCACTATTGCAACTCGAGGCTTGAATTTTCTCTTCCGTTCTTTCAGCTTGAGAAATGCTGAGTGTGTTCTTCCCTTTTGGTTTTCTGTCTCCACGTCTTTGCACATGTCATTATAGTACTTTACTTTGTCTTCTTGAGTCACCCTTTGAAATCTTCTGTTCAGCTCTTTTAGTTCATCATTTCTTCCTTTCACTTTAGCTACTCTACATTCAAGAGTAATTTTCAGAGTCTATTCTGACATTCATTTCGGTTTATTCTTTCTTCCGTCTTTTTAATAACCTCTTTCTTCATGTATGATGTTCTTGATGTCATTCCACAGCTCATCTGGTCTTCAGTCATTAGTGTTCAATGCATCAAATCTATTCTTGAGATGGTCTCTAAATTCAGGTGGGATATACTCAAGGTCGTACTTTGGCTCTTGTGGACCTACTCTAATTTTCCTCAGCTTCAGCTTGAACTTGCACAGGAGCAATTGATGGTCTGTTCTGACTGATGATACTGAGCTTTTCCATTGTCTTTCTACAGATGTAGTCGATTTGATTGCTGTGTGTTCCATCTGGTGAGGTCCACAGGTACAGTTGCTGTTTATGTTGTTGAGAAAAGGTATTTGCAATGAAGAAGTCGTTAGTCTTGCAAAATTCTATTATGTGATCTCCGGCGTCATTTCTGTCACCAAGGCCATATTTTCTAACTACCAGTCCTCCTTCGTTTCCAGCTTTCACATTCCAGTCGCCAGTAATTATCGGTGCATCTTGATTGCATGTTTGATCAATTTCAGACTGCAGAAGTTGGTAAAAATTTTAAATTTCTTCATCTTTGGCCTTAGTGGTTGGTGTGTAAATTTGAAAAATAGTCATATTAACTGGTCTTCCTTGTAGGTGTATGGATATTGTCCTATCACTAACAGCGTTGTCCTTCAGGATGGATCTTGAAATGTTCTTTTGATAATGAACAGGACACCATTCCACTTCAAGTTGTCATTCCTGACATAGCAGACCAGGTGATTATCTGATTCAAAATGGCCAATACAGTCCATTTCAGCTCACTAATGCCTAGGATATTGACCTTTATGCATTCCATTTCATTTTTGACGACTTCCAATTTTCCTAGATTCATACTTTGTACATTCCACATCCTGATTATTAATGTTTGTAGCTGTTTCTTCTCATTTTGAGTCGTGCTTCAGTATATACTTTGTATATATGCATATATATATGTATATACACATATATAGTTACCATATACATATTGTATATAAAATATTTTCATAGCTTATAGTCAATCATATAGGCACGTTTGTGGGTTCTCAGGTCCTGCCAGCGCAGCGGTGCAGCCAACACAGCCAGCACAGGGCTCTGAGTGGCCTCCTCTTTGTTACCTAGGTCACTGAAGGGACACACTGGTTTCTCGTTTCAGCTAGTGACATGCGTCTACAGGGCTAGGTGTCAAGCCACATGGTATCAGAGGTGCTTCACAAAGTTTACCTTGAACGTTTAGGAAATACAGGTTGCAAATCGGTCGCTAAGTCACGTGTAGCTTAGGCACGCGCTCAGAGAGGTCAGAGGGATGAGCATCCCCCCCGTCTGGAACCCCCACCCCTCCAGGAGCCTTTCTTTTTCTGGTCTTAACAGTTTTTGGCTACACATTTTATATTGCTTCATAGAAATAGCCTAGGGATGATATGATTTTTCCTAATCTTCTATTATTGGTTCATTTCAATAAGTCTTTCCTAATTCTGCGTAGCTGTTGATTGGTTCAGTGCTCTGCATGGCAGAAGCACATGTATATTTGCCCATCCAGTACTCATCTTAAGGAGCCCTGGATTGTTTTTTGCTTTTAAAATCTTTTTTTTTCTTATTATAAAGTTTTACCGGTTTATTGTAGAAAATAGATAATGAAACCAGAAAACCTATAATCTCCCATCTCACATTTTTGTATGTCTTTCCTGACGATCATCTATCCATCTATGTTAAAGTGTGTATAATTTACAAATACAGGTTTTTTGTCTTAGTTACCGAGTGCTGCCGTAACAGAAATACCACGGTGGGGGTTTTAAAGAACAGGAATTTATTCTCTCAGTTTTGGAGGCTGTGAGTCCAGTTCCAGGGCATCAGCAGGGCTCTGCTCCATCCACCTGAGGAGAAGATCCTTCCTTGTCTCTTTCGGCCTCTGGCAGCCCCGGGCCTTCCTCGGCTTGTAGATGGATCCTCACATGGCCTCTCCCTCTGTGTGTGTCTGGATGTTTTCCATTTTTATAAGACCCCAGTCAGGAGGGATTTGGTTTAAGACCCACCCTACTCCAGTGTGACCTCATTAACATAACGTAAAACTCTTATTTCCTGACAGAGTCACACTCACAGGTACAGGGATTGGGACTTCAACGGAGCTTTGTGGGGGTGCACAATGCAGTCCGTAATACACATCCATGCCTAGTCTACATGATTTGAATGACTGCATGCCGTTCCACGTAGGAGTATAGGATAGTGAACTTAATCACTGCAGCTCCCGGGGACATTCAGGGTGTGTCCTGGTTTTAGCTTCTACAGACAACAGCTGCGGCTCCATCTTGTTCACAGGCTTTAGAATTTCCCTGGGGTAAGCCTCTAGACATTAAACTACTACAGTAACATTAACAGCTAACGCTGAATGCCGCGCAGGTGACAGACGTAAGCGTTTCACTGATCTCCTGCTGTCACGCTACAGTAACATCAACAGCTAACGCTGAATGCCGCGTAGGTGACAGACGTAAG